AGGAATACTCATGTGTTAGTGTGACAGGCTAAAAACTATCAGGTTAATACTGAAATCACTTTCATTTTAACACTTCTTGCATTTCCATTTTAACACTTCAAATTTTCAATGTTTATCAGCAATAAAGCACCTACAACAATAAAAGTGATGGAGAGAGCAAGGGAACTGTGTTCAAGGCAGGGGAGGAAGGGGAGGCTTTTTCACTGCACACGGAGATAAGGGAGAGATCCATGGGGTACCTCGCTACAGGTGGGGCCCTTCCCTGCCGCAGCTTTGGAAGTCCTGATTTGAATCAAGAAAGGAAACAGAGCACACCTGTACCTCTGCTCAACCTCTCTGAAGTTCAGCACAGTCAGCTCAGGGTGCTGCTGGGTTTGTACCTGTTTGCCTGAACTGTTCATAACTTTATGGGAAATCCCCAGGAGGAACATCTCTTGAGCACCACGCACATTCCTCCTGCCCAGCTTCTGCTAGTATAGCCTTTCCATTATTTCTGCAGGACAACACAATAGTGCTTTCTCATTCCAGTTTCTCTGCTGCTTATGACATGAATCCCTCTCTAGAATATTTGCCTCTTTGATCAGATGGCCCAAGTGCTCATTCCCACAGCAGTTAGCTATCAAAACTCCTCCTATTGGTTACAATGTCTTTTCTTTCTAGTTCCTTCCTTGCTTCTCTAGAAATCAACAGCACCTGCTGTCCTCCTGAAACCTAAAAAAAAGAAGTATTTCTTCTTACTTGCTGTTTTTTTATGGGTTTCCCATTCCTGATTCACAGCTGTCCTTCTTCCAGGGTAGAAGACCACCACTGTAAGCACCTTTTCCTGCTGTGATTCCTCAGGCAGGTGTTACAGACTGCATTTCTTCTGAGCCCCATCAAGGGACTTGTATAAACCTCCTAATGCTGCAAGTAGTATATCTTTTATTGTTAGCTGTTAGGAATAGTGTTTCCAAACAAAAACTAATTAATCACAGAAGTGAGTAAAAGTGAATAATTAAATGGAGATAAAAAGTATAATTCACACAAATGCCTAATTATTGTCAGTTTATTACAATTTTCAAAATTTCATATGCATCTTAATTCACTTGTGAACACTGGGAATGCAGCTCCTCTATCACTTAAATAGTTTTGGAGATGTTGTGTACCAGTCCTTGTTTCTTCCCTCCAACCAATTTTATTCTGAATATTTTATACACAGATGTCTGTCACAGAGCAGAGTAGCACAGTGCTGGATCGTTAAATATCAGGCCAATGTTATTCTGGGCTGACTGAAATACTTGTCATTGCCTGAGAAGGGGGAAAAGAAGGTTTTACTGTGCCTTGCAGGTGTATGTTTTATGATAAATGATATTCACATGATTTACATTAATTTATGGGTGACTGAATGTGTCTAATGGTGTCAGGATAATTAGAGGGAAATATTTTATGGTTTTCAAGGAGCAGAGCTCTGTTCTCCTTCATGACTGAGGCCTGGGTATGAGAAGATAAATGTACCAGAACACATTTGATCAGATTCTTTACATGTGGCTTTACACATCTTTGAATTCTGGCTGACTCTGCAAAATGGAAAGAACAGCGTCATGTCTTGGGGTGCCCTCAAATAAGCAAACCTTTTGAAAGAGGCATCTTTACCTGCCTTGGGGAGTTTGAGCAACAAGAGAACCAGAGTTGACTATTTTCACTCAAAAAGACATTCTCCAGTGGTGTGATTCCTTCACTTTTCCTTGGGGCTTGAGATACAGAATTGCATTACTGCCTGGCTAATTCCAAGGAGGTTAGTAGAAAGGGCAGACTAAAACAGGCCTGTTCTGCCAGCAAATAGCAAACCTCAGGCAGAATTTGCCCCCAGGGTTGGAGGCTGGTGCCATGCTGGATAGAAGAGGCCAAGGGATGGGGCAGGAACTGGAGCAGGGTGTTCTCACCCATAAATTTGTGCAAGCTCTCAGGGATCTAGGACACAGATCTTGGAGAAGAAGAGAACGAGTCACATTGCTGTCATCCTGTTTCTGCCTGCTCTAGCACTGCACAGGCTTTAGCCAAAATCACTCCATGGTCAGATTTAGACAATGTGCCAATGCCTTCTCATGTGAAACCACATGGAATACATTCAGGAAACTAATCAGAAGCTGCTTTTTGAAATTAATGTAATAATTGAACCATTTGCAAACTCCCCTACTGGTTTCTGTTTGCTGTTGCCCTCAGGTGCACTGGAATGGATGCCCTGTGGGCAGGTTATCTAGCATTAATTCTGCAGTTTAGCAAAGAGGAATTAAAGCAATAATAATAAATAATAAATAATAATAAAGCAAGGAGACAAAGGACTTAGGCTAAATCAAAAGTAGAAGCACTGTGTATAGATGTTAAAAAGGGAGAAGCCATGGTCTTCACAGTAGAAGTGGAAGGAAAGAAAGGACTCAGTGGCAAAACAAATATCAGTGAGAAAGTCTGACTCCATCTGATAGCAGTACTGTTAATCCCAGATATTCCAGTCTCTATACCAATTAACAAAAGAAAATAAAAAATCCCAAAAAACCAAAACCAAACCAAACCAAAAAAATATTGCACTTACTAAATTAAATAATAAATGTTGTTTTCCCTTTATTTTCATGAGTACAATGTAGGGAATAGTCCTGTAATGTCTTTTGTCTTTTTTTCCCCTCAAAAAATGAAGTTTACAAGTATATTCTCTTGTTAAAGTAAGATCAGTGTGTGCAGCAGGTAGGGTGTTCTCGTTTCTTGATGTTTCTAATTCTGCCATGGCCCTGCAGGATGATTCAGATTAGGAGTTTTCCTGCACTTACATGCTTTGCAAAGCAGGTTGAGAGCTGTGGGTGTGAGGTACTGGAGGCCAATCATGGAATGTGGTTATCCATATCCAGAGGGCTTTCTCCTGTGCCAAGTCCCTGGTAGGTTCATTTCCTGTTCTCTCAGGTACACCAAGGAACCACAAGAAAAACTGGGTAGTTTTTATTGTCATCTCTCTTAATCTTGGCCTCATTCCTCAAGCAGTCTGCATATCTACTGGCACAATGCATTGTTAAACATTTACCTCTTTTGTGTTTATATAGTCATTATCTTGGCTTTCTGTAGATGTTTATGCAAGTGTTTAACTTATTTGGAAACTTTTTTTTTCCTTTCATTTTTCTTCTAAAATAATTTACTTTGAGAATGAAGTCCATATTTTGTATTTACTGTCTCGTTCTTTTTACTCTGCCCTGGAATATACACGTTCCTTCTCAGTATATTGGTGCTAGGAAGAAACTTGGAATAGTAACGGTTCCTCCAAGTATTTTCTTTTAAGTTTTTGCTTGGATTTGGTCTTTTCTTATCATGTCTTAAACGTGACAATAAGCATTTCTCATAAGAATTTCAAAGAACACCACCTATGACAATAATATTAAGTTATTTTCTATTCCTCAGCCTTTTGAAACAGTAGAGCTTAAATTTTCATGCTGGAACTTAAGTATTTTTAGATTACAAATAAGATACAATTGGTTTTGAACCTGCTTCTTTAGATCACTGATATGATTGGTGAGGGAAGGGCTTTGCTTCCAAAAAAGCCCTTGTCTCACTCTAAATGAAATTGCTTATAGCAATCTTAAATGTGAACTACAAACTAATAGAGTTTCTCTGTAACAACTGCTGTCTTTCCAGTGCATGAGCTGCATTCTGAGATTTGAATATGTAAAATGACTAGGTCAGGCTGTCTTGAGGATATAAAAATTATTGGCTAAAGTAAAATTTTGCCTGAAATTAAATTTGCAGAAAATCAAGTATCTGTTGTTTAGTTCTAAGCAGATGTTGAAAAGGTTTTCCTGGATGCCGTCCTTCTTGACAGTATGTCTTTTGATCTGAAGCCAAGTAAGAAATCTGGATGCTAGTCTGGATCTGGAAATTTTCTTTAAATAAGCATATTAGTTAAGTATGTAAATCTGCTTATCATCACTTAAGGAACATTTCCAGAGTAAGAAACATCTGGAGCTCAATATCAGCTAACTTATTAATTCACATTTTTAGTATGTTGCAGCCAGAGTATTGTAGGATTCTGTTATCTCAATTGCTTAAGTCAGCTTTATCTAAAAGGCAATTAGTTGTAAGTTCTGTTGTTTACACACATTTAGACTCATATGAAATCCATGGAGTATAGTTTTATAGGCCTACTCTCTCAGCTTCCCAGAGCTGTTCAGAAACAGACCAACTCACACTGTGGTACAAGTAACTCAGAGCTAAAGTAATCATGGATTTGAAACACCAGTGCTTGCTTCCACAGGAGACAGATTCCAGAAATCATTGTTACTGGTTAGCATTTTGAGCTACATGGTCTAATTTCTTTATCTGAACTCACCACAGTCTAATTCCAAGAAATGATTATTTGACCTGTTCTTGGTAAGAACATAAGTACAGATGTCAATACAACGATGAACCTTCCTTGGTTTTATGACTGTATTTCCCTCTAAGCTTAGAAAAGATTCTCAACTTTTAAATTTACAGAAAACCATTTGTATTTTTTAGAATTTTCCAAACTGATGTATGCTGGATGTTTTATATAGCATTTCTGCTAGCTTAGGTGAAAGGTTGTATTAACCCATGAGAGGTACCTTGCAGTTATTGAAGGGAGAATGGATAATGGCTGACCCTTTATATGTGAAAAGTCTAGAAAATAAAGGAAAAGTGTTGTTTAAGGAAATATTGAATATTGATGGTGAGAAATGAATTTAAATCTTTACACAAAAAAAACCAAAAAAAATTTGAAACTGAATCAAAGCCTTAGAACTACACAAGCAAGATGAAACGTGCAATTCTACATAATTACATGTATATACATATATATTTCCATAATTACATATATGCATATACATAGTTCACATACTCTGTGGCTATGCAGTTAAGGTGACTCAAAAAAAGTGCATATAATTGTGAAACTTAGGTAGCAACAGCTTATTTTAAGATATAAATGAATATAAATATCCCTTTGTTTCTCTTTTTTTTTTCAGTGAAATTTAATGATAATGATATTATTAAAGTAAAACTCTGCAGACCTGATGGAATTCAGAAAATGCACAAGCTCTGATTAATATTCTAAACAGATCCAGCCTTTTCTAGGAACTCAGTAGCAGTCTAAGGTAATTCAAGTTCATCTACCTTAAAATTAAAGACTGTCTTAGCTGTGTCCTCCTGCAAGAGAATATTTATGTTTTGCATTTACTCCACAGGAGTCAGGCCCAAGCCAAAACATTCTGTGAATTAATTTTTCTCGAGCACTGTTCATTGCAGTCACAGTCCCTTAGCTGTGGATCAAAAGTGTTGGTCCCATGTCCTCGAGCAGATTAGGTATCAATTTATGACTGTGTACTGCTTGATGTGGCATCTGCTGATGAATTTAAATGCAGCCTCACAGACAGACCATAATGATCAATATTACTATTTTTAATAATTTGATTAGATATAATGGCTTTGGAGCAAGGATTGCTTCTCTGTTGTTTGTATTTGTCATTGTAGAAGGGAATACTGATTCAGAGTTTGATTTCCTTGGTGCTGCCATAAAATGAAAGCTACATAACAATATTCATAGTAATTTGGAAATATAAGGCAGATGGGGCCTTCAGCTTATAAAGATGATTTTCTCTCTTGTTCTTGATGTTGCTCTGATGATACAAAGTTACATTAGAGGGTAAAGAGTTCACCAGTTTGTGATATATAAAAGAAAACCTGAAGTATCTTACTGTGGTTGCATGAAAGAATTTTAATATTAACTGAGCAAACAAAGCTTGCGTGTACAATCTTCTGTTACTGTTTAAATTCTCATTATGGTTCAGGTTTTTAATAACTGGAAGTTGCTTCACAATGTACCTACTGTGTGAGCTAAGCTGTTCCAAACATTTTTCCTGATTCAAATCAATTAAGAATATTGTGTTTCATTGTATACTTATAAATACAGCTAAAGTCTCCCTCTAGAGAATGTATACATTCAATGAGACAATTTTTTTGAGGGCAAGAAATTGCTAGCATGATGTTGAAAAACTGTTTCCTCCATGAAGCATAGAAGATGTATTAATTTTTATTATACATGGTAATTATACATTGCATTACTCAGCTTGTCATGTACACACTTGTTTTATGTCCTTATAGTAAGTTATGTTTTTGTGTAATAGATTCTAATTTTCTACTGGTCAAGACAAGAAAACAACACAGGGAGTATAATAATAATATATATATAAACATAAATTAATATTTCATCATACAGCAACGTTTCCATTCACTTATTTTTTTAAAGTAATCTCAGTGTTGGGGTGAGAGAAACCTATCTCTTATTATTTTAATTTTTTTTTCACATGCATCTCAGCATTGGAAAGAGCAGTGCAATCAAAGTAATCTTCACATTGACTTGCATATATACAGGCAAAAGATATTTAATAGGGGAATTATGGCTATTTTCTGTTGCAATTTTATTTAATTAATGTCAGTTCACCTGTGCACAGGTGAGATACTGGGTTGGGTTCATAAGAGTCTATGAATCCATTACCTTCAGGTGAGACACAGCAGTAAGCACAAGCTGAAACCTGTTCTTTGAATTGGATTACACCCACGTGTAGGCTTATTTCTATAAATGTTTGTTTGGGCCCTCTCCTCTTTCTTTTGTGTTCTTTCTTATTAAAATTGAAAAATCTTACCCAGATTGTAGGGGAAAGCTTCTAAATACAATGTAAATGAACATCTGAAAAGAAAGAAATCTGTGATACAGTTCATAGATTTGTATCTTTGAGTGAAAGACAACTGAATGTTGCTGTCCTTGCTTTTTTGTTCTTCTGGAAGAAGCACAATAGGAGAAGGTGAGTCATGAGTATGTCACAGGAAACATGCAGCTCAGCAGTACATCCTATTTGTGAGGCAGGCTTACTGAAATTGTTCTTTTAGGAAAACTCCTTTGCATCAGGCACTGAAAGGTCTAAGAATACTTTTCCAGCCCCTAAGTGATCAATTTTGTGTGTGTGTAAATGATCACCAGTGTAGCTTTTAGGCTGAAAAGTTGTGACATAAGTGTTCAAATGACTTCCATGGAGCACTCAAAAGAAAAATAATCCTAATGTTATTGGGGGTTACAGATTATTTGCTGAATGAAAATGCAAACACTTTCCCTCACAAAGAACACAGAATTTCAATACATTCATATATCTCAAATAAGCTGTTGGAAAGGAAGATATTTACTGGAATTCAGAAAGAATTTTTTTGAGTTCTTACGGTGATAATGGGCCCTCTTTCTCTGATGCGTCACTCAGCAAGTGTCAGCACTGAAAACGTGGGCCTAAAATTTTCACACCGAGTTTTCTCCATTATATTATTACTTTTTAAGAACAATAAATAGTGTTTTTTTGTTAAATCCAAAGAAGAAAATTGTTTTGACTGTAGAATGTGATTCTGGAGAGGAACAGCATGTATTATCCAGTGAATCATACTTTTCAAACAAAATGCAGCATACAAGAAAAGATCAAGGTTTATTATGCCTCACTTACTATCAAAGAAAAATGTAATGGCAGATGCAATGTTAGCAAATTCATGGTGCTCTGTTCACTTTTCCACAGCAGATGAATGACTGCAATTGATGGACTGGTCAGACAGACTAAAACAAAATAACATTTGTCTTTGACAGATCAAGGATTCACCTGGTTTCTTTTTAGAGAAAAACCTGAAAACTGGAATGAAGTTTTATTGGAAGTTGTACACCTTCATTATCAGTACCTGGCAAATGAGTAGTGGAGTGACAGAAGGTAAGCTCAATGTTCGTACTTAATATTTTATTGCTAAAAGGCATGGATTTTTTTCTGAATAATTCGTGTTTCCAAGAGCAAGATTGAGCAGGACCCAGTGTTTAGCAACAAATGAGGAGGCCAAACGGTTTTCCAAAACTTACTGCTCAGATACCTCAGAGTGTGCGCTATGAACTCAGCAACATGGAAAATAACAAGAAAGTCCTCCTTCTACCATCTTTTCTCTTTCTTCTGGTTGGTATTTTTCTTTATGATGAAAAATGACCTAATTACCTAATGACTCCTTGTTTTTTGAGGGGTGTTCATCAGCATGGTTAAAATATTCTGGAAAGCCAAAGGTTATCTTTGTACCCTAGGGGAGAAGTGCCCATTGACATTGCTAGACAAAACCTTTTGTCCACATGCCTCCCTTCCACCCCCATTGGACTGTCCCTTAAAAATGTATGAAACAAGCAGAAGATACAGTTAGTGGTTTTATAATTTTTTTCAAAAATTTCCAGTTCAAAGAAGGACTTGCAGAAAAAAATCCCACTATTTAAGTCAATATTTATTATTCTCCCCCCAAAAGATTAGGGTGCTTCAAAAAATGAAGGGACAAGGTTTTGTTTGCTGCCATGCTATCTAAACTGCATGACCTTTACAATAATGAAATCTAGCATTTAAAACAACTTTTCCAATGAAAGCTGAATAAACAGTAAGCTAATTGTGTTTAATTTGCAAACTATTAAATTTGTGATAATGCTATTTAAACAGGATGGTTCTCTATTGTACTTATCTGATATAATTCTTTCTTTGCATATGACCACGTCCTTTCAAATATGCGTTGTCACATCACTGATAAAATGGAGTTGAGAGTCATGACAAATCCAGGAACATCTGGGGAATGAGAAGAGAAAAGCTGAGTGTCAGATAGCAATCAATGGATCACTTAGGGCAATTATGCTTAGGAAATGAAGGTAGTGCAGATGATGTAATTTGCACATGATCAGGCTGGTGAAGGGAGTCAACAGTGCTCCCCTTAGGCTGTTATGGAGATGCCTGTGCAGATGTCTGTCCTAGAAATGCCACACGTTCAGGAGAAGCTGTCAGCTCCCTGAGGAGCCGCCCACTTCACATGAGACAGAACAGGGCACGAGCCCCGTGGCAGTGCCATCCATTAGGACAATCTGTGTAAGCCACACTCTAAAGAAATGAGCGAACTGGAACAGAATGAAACATGAATTGTAAAGCACAGAGAAGTTCCCCTTCCAGTCAGTTTAAGCTTCCTGGCTCAGTCCAATCTTGACACCTCTCCAGTGACACATAACTTACTCTGTTTTGCCAGGTCTGTCCTTTCCCATTTGTCCAAGTTTACTTTTTTTGTCATTTCAACTTAGCCCATTTTCCTTCTCTACATTTTCTAGTGCAATTAGTTGAGTGATTTTGCTCCCTTCCTTTTCACATCATGTCAATTAATCACTTGCCTATATTTCTCTTGCCTCAGCTGGGCACATTTCTTTTATGCAACAATTCAGCTTTAATCTTCCCTTCATCTTAGTGCTGCCCCCATTATTATTTATTAATGCTTTGCACAACTCTTCACCAAGAACTTTGACTTATCTTAAAGACTTTCAATAATTAAGCCCCACAATAAGCCTATAAAGGATGCAATTATATTATCTATTTACCAGATGGCTAACCAGGAACAGACAGAAGTTAGCTAAATTGCCCTGGGTTAAAAGTTGGGGAAAGACAGCACTGGGAATAGAATCCAGTGTTAGTTGAGTTTCTCTGCCAAAAGCTTGTAGTACTACAAAGTGTGTATACCAGCTGTTGGGGAATCACTGTGCTAGCCCAGAATTGTCCTGCTCTAGCTAAGAGCTTAAGATCTATTATTGAATAGGTTTTCGAACTCAGTCCTTGCCCTTCTCTTTCCTAAGGGGACAACAGAAACATCTGAAGTTGTAAACCTAAAATGAAACTCTGCTGATGTTTTCCCATGTCTTCTGTAGCAGTTCTGTAACTGACTGAGGTCTATGCATAGCTGGATTTTAAAAAAAATCATGTGTATTATCAGCAAACTACTGTGAAAAAGAGAAGGTCATTGTTTGTCTGTCTATCATTCTATCTGTCTATCACAGTATGAGCCAGTCAGCCTGCCCATAGCACCAAAAAGCCATGCTGGATTTGTTATCTGTGCAACCAGCCATCTGGACTACATACTGAATTCTCTGTCACCATTAAACAGAGGAATCACACTTTGTAAATAAGGATTTTTTTCTAGAGCTAATTATTTGGTGAGGCTGGTAAATTCTAACCAGTCCTTGGAAGTTTAGGTCTTGATGTCCATGTTCATCCTATTGTCATGTGTATGATGTTCTTTGATATGTAGAATATTGAACAGAATAAAACTTATGGACTATTCCAGATGCAGGGTTTGCAGTGTACTTATGAAAGCATTGACATGGTGCTCTATTTCCATGAAGTATTTTAGGATCATTTAAAGTTTTTGAGCTCATTTTAAGCATTGCAGTGGAGACTTATAGTCCTTTCACAATCAATTAATACACTGATCTTGAAATCTCATTTTAAACTAGACATGCCTCGTTTTCATGCTGGGAATTAACCTACAAAGGATAACTCTTATGATGGACAAAAGTACTGATTCTCTGCTGCAAGAGCTGTGGCCAAAGCGGGATCACTTCTATAAGGCTGGTCCCATCCCCTGTGGAGGGAGAGCTGTTGTGTAAAATATTGTCAAGTCATAAACACGAAGAAACGCTTTTTGGTCATTTTGTCTTGAACTACTTATGGGTTCCTGGAAGTTTTCCAGTGTGAATGAGGAGGGCAGCAATCTCCAGTTATTCTCATTTCCAGATCTTCAGGTATGCATGTATTCCAGTGCCCAAGGTGATGCCTTCCAGTAGGACTAGTTACAGTGTCTTGCATAAACTCACTGGATTTGCAGAAGATCTTTAAGGGCCATTTGAGATTTTGTCATGAGGAAGATTATATGCTAAAATCTAGATGGTCTTTCTACTTTGGGGAGGAAAAAAAAGCCCATCCATATGAAATTGTGCTCATTACTGAGGAAAATAAATTCTTGTCTGTCAAGCAAATGGCCAGGCTTTTGAAATGGTTAGACTTCCACATCAATTACTAGGGAAAAACAACACCTGTGTACACTAATTACTTATTTAATGGAAGGTTTTCAGAAATAGGGTCAAATTCTCCACTTGAATCAGTTGTATGCCACAGAAATGACATTTTTGTCAATGGAAAAACCCACTGATTTACACTGGTAGGTGTTAGAGTAAAACAGGTGAATGGGATGTTACGGAGCACAATAGGAGTGTCAGTGTAATAAATAACATATTTAACTTTTATATGTATGCTTTATATATTCTTACACGATCAGTGTCTCTTTAAGTACTGCTTGAGTTAATTTGAGTGCAGTTTTCTTTAGTCTTTGTCCCATGTTTGTTGACTTTTTACTCTCCTTGCTATGTCAAAAACATTTCGATGCTATAAATAAGACCATGGATTAAATACATTCTTTGTGACAAGCAATGTGCAGTGCATTCGTTTCTTTCTTCTAGAAGATAGATTATCTTTTTCATTATTTTGAATCTGCACTCTTCCAGTGTTCTGAAGATCAGTAGAAGTACATTTAGACTCAGTTATGGAAAAATGATGTGTTATATATATTTTCTGCTTGTGACAGATGTGTGCTTATACATGAAAATATCCACACTCATACAAACTACAGTTTTAAGGAGTTTGCAGAATCCATGGCATTGCTTTTATTTACTACAGGAGTTGTATGTGATGCTATGGTACAAAAGCTTGTGTTATTATGAGATTGTGTATGATGCATAGGTTAAATCAATTAGGGTTAAAATATTCCCTCTGGCTAAAGAGGTGGGTGTACAAAAGATCAAACTGGGGAGGTCATCATGCATTAGTTGTAGCTCCCCTTGCCCACCCCCACCAAGCATCCTGAAACATGTCTGATGTCCTGGCAGGTATCTTTATGGTTATGGACTTGAGTGAAACTATGCTTGCATTAAGGGAAAATTTCATGGATGGTGTGCACTGTACCCATGGCAAAGGGAGACTGATGCTTTTTCAAAATTCCATCTCCCCTGTGGTGCACAGACAGCAACAGTTCACTTAAATAAAAACAAGAAACACGCAGGAGGAAACATCAAGGGCAGTTAGCCATACAGTCTTGGTGCACACAGAAGACATCACTGTATATTTTCAAGTTGGATATTTTCACCAAATATCACATTTAGCCAGTGATCTGCAGGCAGGAGTAAGACAGGAAGAGTGTTTCCTTGTGTAACTGTCCTAGGGCTCAAAAAGTCCAGTGACTGTGAAGTCTTGTCTCATCTCAGGCAATTCTATTTTATATTTGTCTTCATTATTGAGCACGCTTCATATTCTCTTCCTCGGCTCACTGCAGCTTCACTGCTTCATTTTATGTATCAGGAAGCCGGACAAAGCTCAACTGGCAGCAGGATTTAGACTTTTATTAAGTCAGATAGAAATCATCTCACTCAGTAATCTGGAAAGATGGTGAGAAGTCGTGAGTTTGGCAGGATGGTCTTTTTTAATTACTGCAGATTTCTGATCTACATTTCCCTGCAGTTTAGCATATTGTTGTGAACTTGCAATGTGAGTGTCAAACTTCCCTCTAGTGGTTGCTGTACACAGAGAATAAACATTGATTTAGCTTGATGACAAGTATTTAACTCTGGACAGAAAAAGATGACAATTCATATGAGATTCTAATGGCTGTACATAGCGAAATTTATTTATTTGTCTTTCTTCTTCTTTTAATGATTTAGTTACTTCACAAGTTGAAATACTGTAATTAAAACATGATTCATTGTCAAAGCAAACAAACAAACAAAAACAAACAAAAAGAATGATGGCATTATACTCTGCAAAAAGCGAATGTGCCACCTATTGGTGATGCCTCTGCACTTCTTGATTGCTCTCCAGCAGGTCAGTGGCAATGTCACCACGAACAATGCCAGTTGTCCCATAGCACACAACAGGGCTACACACAGCTCTGTGCCTGCTTGTGTTAATGCAGTACTAGTGCTGCAATAAAATAAAAGCAAGAATTGAGCAGTAAGTGTGAAATAAAGAACTGAGTGTTAAAAATGTGCAAAGAATAGAGTGACTCATTAAGTGTCATTATGATTAAAGAGTTCCATTTCTTGCTAACAGAGTTCTCAGCAGCAGATTGTGAAACCAGAAATACACTCTGCAAGGCAGAAGTTTTTTGCTATGTGTGAAGAGGAAAGATATGGTGAACTTGTATGTTTCTCAGCCATCTGAGCTGTAAATTTGCACCTCTACAATCCTCTCAGAGAATCTGTTAATAACTTTTTGGAACCTATTCTACTTGAATCCTATAAGGCAGTGAGATTGGATCCTGCCTGTACAAGGGTCCATGCATGGAAAGGAAGAAGCCTCGGGACATCTGACACTATAAACTCTGTTGTGAAAGTTTTGTTTCCCAGTTTTCAAATGCAGCCTTCATTCATCCTTTATACATATCCAGAATTATATTTCTGTTGATTAAATATTTCATGCAGGTACCTCTGTTCTTCAGTAAGTGCCAGTGATTAAACCTGTCTATGCAGAAGTGAAAACTGTATTTTAAATCTGTGGTACTTCTAATTTGATTTTTCTTATAGTTTATATAGCAGTTACCAATTGTCCCACTCTCCAAGACAGTATTCAATCTCTGTTTATGGTACAGTCCCCCTCCATTTCATTTAGTGGAAAAAATGAATCAATGTTATTATCTTCCTCAATCTAAAAACAGCAAAACTGCTATTTATTAAAAATTTTTGAAACGTATTTTTACTCATAATCTTGCTACTTCTTTATGGCATCGTTTTGGTGATGGTTTGGTGTAGTTTTTGTGCTTTGTATTTTTTTTTCTCTTTTTTTTTTTGTTAGTGGCTCAGCTTAGTGAAAGGACAGAGTCAACCCCGACTGGCTGCAATAAGCTAAGCACTGGTGTGTGACATTAAATGTACACACTAGAATGTAAGATGTCATTGAAAACAAAACCAGCTCTGGAGAGATAAGGTAATAATGAGAACTAGCATACAGCAAGCACAATTAAAGTACACCAGAGTGTAATATTTGACTAATCATCTAAAAATATTGGTTTTCCTTAAACTTGAGATTTGTCAGAATCACAAAACAACCCAGCAGCCTAGATAAATGTCGCAATGAAGAATCAAAAAATCACATTTGAAAATATGGGCTATGTTGCTATACCCATAAAGATTGTAAAGCAATAGCTGTGTCAGGTCCTCTTAAAAATAATACGCTTTCATCTTATGTCTTAATGTAAGAGCTTCTTTTTGAGCAGATGTTCTGGGAGTGCTCCCTCCCTTATGCAATGACAGAAGCATAGCAATGCTCCTAGAGAGGTTTACCTTTCAGAGCTGACAAGTGTTAAAAGAAAATGGGGGGTGCGAACAGGTTTATAATCTACATCACAGATATGTGGGAAAGGGTTTTAAAATACACTGTGTAAGGGAGAGGAGAAAAATCAGACACATTAAATAAAATCTATATAAATAGTAACAGTGAAGTCATACAATGATCTTTAGCAAAATAAGCCCCACTAAAGCAGACCATGAGCAGTGAGAGCTGCTATTTCTTATGGGATGCAGTGATAAAGAAATTACATACTTATTTGAGAGGAACATAAATAAAGATTAATAGGTTAATGAGTTATTTTCCTTTCATTACTATACTATTGTACTTTATTATAATTGCTTTGCACTCATTTAATTAAATTTGAACTAGGGCCAACACAAGATAATTTGTTTTCCCTGTACTAAACAATGAGTATGCAGATTGGAAGTACTGAAGCAGTAATCAGCCCTCTGTTTGCAACACTTTTCTACTCTGAGTAGACATTATAATTGATAATTTGATTGTTGCAGCACTCTGTGCAATATATTTTAAAGCAACATTAACATAATGGAAATTATGTTGTGTGCCTAATCCAAGCTTTTCACTGTGTAAGTATACAAATCCCATTCTGTAATGAATTAGGGCACTATCCACCAAACATTCATACAACCTTTACATGCCTCATTTTGGAGCAGAGCTATCTCCTTCTAGTCTCCAGTCAATGTCTTCCCTATCAAGTTATATCACTTAAGTTGTACACAAAAAGTGCTAAAATAATTAAGCTAAGCATTTCAATGAAGCCTGATTTGTTCTGAAATAAAGCTGTCATTAAAACTAAGTAGGTTTTTTATAGTCCCTGTATAATTTTTGCATTATTTCTGAGGAAGGTGTTTATCCTGTCCATTAGATTTTATCTTTCCTTTGTCTCTTTCCACCTTCTGAGAACCCTTCTAGCAAAACAGTGACGTGACTGAGATGTTGTGGTAGGACTTTTCAATGTCTGTAATATAAACAAAAGCTACCTTATTACATTTTTATATATTTTGAACTTAGGAACAAAGCATTTTTATGTTCTGCAAGAACGAGAGGCAAGTCTGAGGTTCTGGTGATCTTTATCCAAATCAATGCCCACCACGCAGTTTTAATGCATCTCTTCCTGTTGCCCCCAGTCCCTGCAGAGGATTTGGTCTGCATGTCCTGACCTAATGAAGTCCTGAGGATGGTGGGACAGACCTGAGCAGTTGTGTGCCACCTCAGCAGTCACCAAGGTTGACTTGCCTTTCAAGTTTGGGCCATGAAAAAGCAGTAGAAAAACAAAGTGAAGTGTGATGGTTTATAAAACTCAGCCAACTTTATTTGTTTTCTGACAAAATAAGAGTGGTTTTGCTTGTGTAAATATTTGAGTCACCTCATTTAATATTTGCCTGTTTACTTTACAGCCTGAAGTGTCCCTCTACAAGGAAGGTGAGTTGTGGGTTTGTAAAATAAGTTCAACTTGTTTGAGAAAAATGTCGTACAGGAGAGTATTTCACTTACTGCCTTTTAGAACTGAACTTGTAAAGTTTTCTATGGTCTTATGCAAGGAATCCTACTGAAAATAATCATGATTAGTATTTTAGAGAAATGATGAGCTTAACCATGCTGCTCTCTGGAGAGCAGTGCTAATGAGTGTGGAGTGGCCCAGGTTGCCACTTCTTTTGTTCTCCACCATGTTTCCAAATGAAGTTTTTGAAGGAGATAGGAAGATAGGAGATAGGAAGATAGGAGATAGGAAGGCTGACTGGCCAGTTTGACTTCCCTTTTTTTTCTCCTAGTGTCCAATTCCATTTCCTTTTGCTGACAATTCTTTAACATCATTATAAAGCCTAATATATTAAGAGAGATGACACTATTATACTCCTGGAGATGAGAGAAAATTAGAAGTACAGGAGAAATGAACAGTGTTATAGATATTTAAAAAGGTGTTAGAGAGTGCTCCCTGCATCACCACCCAGCTCTAAAACAACTGATCCTCTGAGAGATCATTCTGTCTATCACTATGGTCTGACACTACAGGATTCCGCTTTATTGTTTTGGGATTTCTGTGGTTTTCCAGCCGTGTAATAGGAACTCGGGAATCCTGCCCCAGATAGTTTCTCTCTTACATAGGAGTTTTCACTAAATAGGTCCCCAAGATCTATTTGGGGTCCAGAAGTAAAGAGGTGAACTTTGTGTCTGTGGAAGGAGATGGAGCTGGCTGCCTGTGGTGCAGCACTGTGTGTTGGGAAGGAGCAGGGGATCAGGATTCCTGCTGGAAATCAGGGTATAGGGGAGTTCCTCTCATCTTCATTCAAAGCCTGCAGGAGGTTTCTTTCCTGCACTTAGTAGCACAAAGACAGAAGCCTTTTGTAACTTGTCTACTGTGAGGCCTAACCAAAGTCTCCTGAGTCTTAATAAAGGTTGCAGTCATCCTCAGTGCGCTTCAGTTTTGCAATAAATGTTGGTGCATTTCAATAACTTTTGAGTTTTCCAGAGACAGGCTTTGCCTGAGCAAAGAGACATGGGATCCATGACAGACAGGGCATCATTTAGTGTTTATATCAAGGAGTGGTGGGATTTTTCCACACCACCTTAGAATCTGTTACGGTGGATTATGCCTTCAGAAAAACTAATTTATAATGTCTCAAGTAGAAAGTGGATCATAAGTGCTCTGTCTTTTTATACAAAGCCACTGCTGTCAGCCCATAAGGCAAATCCAGGGAGGCTTCTGTTTTCCATTTACTGTACTTTTCAATTGATTGGTCAGTGGTGTGTATCCTTTTCCAGTTTCTTTATTCTCTCTCTTTCAGACTTGGAATATCATTGCTTGAAATCCTGAGGGTAACATTATAGATTTCTTTTTATTTCACACAGAGACCTTTAAACACACAACATACCTGAATTACCATCTAGCTTTAAATCAGTCTGGGTGTGTAACTCAAATCACAGATTGAATGCTATAATATTGCTTCTTTGCACAATTTAAAAGGTTGGACTAGAAAGGGAACAACCCTTTTCATGGGTGTGCATAATAAATATAGCATGACTAGAGATGTAAGAATGGGAGAATATTTTGATATGAAGTGTTATAACCAAGCTAGGTTTATAGTGAAATCAAAAAGTGCAAGAAGAAAGAAAAGCTGTGAAAAGCATGAGGGGATCATGGAAGGGTATGGATGGAAAATAAAATAGGAGATTTTCAAAGCTGAAGTTTTGTAGCTAGAGAATTCTACCTGCCATCCAGTGTGGATATTTATTTGGGTTAAATAAAATAGCAGTTGAGACTGCTGAAATGCATATATCAATCATCTGTAAGGTAAAGCAGGTGGGGAAGATTGAAAGATTACAGAACAAAGGGGAAAGTGTAAGTAAAAGGAAGAAAATAAAAGAAGTCTGTGTGAAGGCTAAGATAAATAGGAGATTTTCTGAATACACAAGAAATGAGGTCACTGGAGAATGCAGCTGAGTTTGAGACATTGCAAAGGTAACCTACCTTTGGTTGAGAGAAATATATCTTTCAGATGTTAAATTCTTTGAGTCAGTTTTCTTGATGAAGATAAGGATAATACAAAGAGACACCGGAACAGAAAAAGGAGTTAATATAGACTCTGAATACTGACAAAAATTAGGACCTTAAAAATTGACCCAGATTTCTGTGAGAAACTGAAACACTCAGAAGGAGACGTGAACATGCTGACCATGTTATTGGAAAGAGTGCTTGGTTGGAAATGCCTAAAGACTTGAAGTATAGTCCTGGACAGTGAGTTTTTGGCAGATTTTAAGTCATGACATGTGGTTTGGATAGTCTGTGGTTACAAGAGAATAGTTCTGTACACAGCAGTTTCCATTATCCTTGTGTACTGTGGGCTGTTTTCAAGTTTGCAGTAGAGAGAAGGGTGCCAAAATGAGACCAAGGTGAGGCTGATGTGGAGGAGCAGTGGTGAGAGGCCACATCCTCACTCTGCTTGAGTCAGGGTGTTTAAACACAATGAACTGGACTTGGGAGAATAGGAAAAACCATGAGCTTGCAATCAGGTAAAGAATATATAACATGCTCTCAAAGACAGCCCAGACCAATGGAGAGCAGTAAGAGTTCTCAGGAAAAGAGAAGAAGAGAAGAAAAGAGAAGAAAAGAGAAGAAAAGAGAAGAAAAGAGAAGAAAAGAGAAGAAAAGAGAAGAAAAGAGAAGAAAAGAAAAGAAAAGAAAAGAAAAGAAAAGAAAAGAAAAGAAAAGAGAAAAGAAAAGAAGAGAAAAGAAAAATAGCAAAAGGAATCAGAGCAAGGTGTGAAATGCAAATACAGAGGCTTCATGTAGTCTGATACTGGTGAGGCATGACAGTATCATGATAATGCTCAGAAGACCAGTCTCTGGTTTTAATTATCTTTTAAAAAAGTTATTGTACAATCAGAAAATTCATAATCACTACTAGTATGGTACAAGGGCAGAGAGACCTTAGTTATTTGTTAAAGTTAGAGAAAGCAGGTCTATAAAACAGAGGAAATTAGGAGGTCATCTCATTGAGACAGAGATAATTCCGAAGGGAATAGGCAGGATAAATGCTACCAGGTTAGCTGAACTCTTTTGAGATGCAAGAACAAAGGGGATGAACTAAGAGAAATCAATGGCCACTGTATTTATTTGGAATTCTTTACACAAATCGGGAGCAATTGCATATATAAAGTATTTCACTAATGGCAGCAAGAGGAAGAAACAATTGAAACAATAATTTAAAGGGTTAGTGTATCTAAGGTTTTAAAAACATAGACATTTAACATTAGCATTTACAGTGAGCTATTTTCTTTGCAAATAATGATAAATAATCTTTTTGCAAGGCAGCTCAATTGCAATAAATAACAAAGGAAGGCAGAAAAACTTCAAAATAGAAATTTTAATTTAGAGTTGGTTATAACTCTAGTTATTGGAAATTTTCCTGCAGTGATTCCCCAACAACACAGTAAATTCTGTGTGGAGAGAGGGAGTAAACACTAGTAAACACTACTTTGCTATATATACTTCTGTGTCTACCATTTATCCTGTTTGAAAACATGTATAGCAGAAGGGATTGTGTCATCAGAGGAGTTACTTGATTTTTGGGTTTGGTTGGGGTTTTCTGTGTTTGTTGTTTTTGTTTTTTTTTTTTAAATTTATTTAAATTTACATCTCTGCAGAGGAGTATACAAATATTTGTATATAAACACACACACACACACACATATATATATATATATATACTTATATGGTATCATAACCCAGAAATTTGCATGCTGTAGTTCTGAACTAAAACTGTAAGAGCCCTTCAGAGACTGGTGCTTCCCAAGAGGTTCCCTGTTTAACCAGGAGCTCCCATTTTGCTTCAGCCATGGTCCTCTTCTCTAATATAACACTTCATGGAAAAGTGCTAACTGAAATGGGGGATAGAATGGACACAGGATTTTTATATTTTTTTTTTTTTTTGTCAGAGACAAATAAACTCCTGTTAAAATGTAAAAATGCAGAATTCTGTCTGTACATGGACTAACAACTGCTATTTTTTTTTAATGTTAGGAGTCAATCAAAAGCTGATATGAAGCTGTAACATCCTTCCTGGAAATGGGAACCTTTCCACCAGAGTGGTGATGGATCATCAGACTCACTCTATCAAACAGAAAACTTAATTTGCAATAACTGAGGCTCAGGTATGATGCAAGACCACTTGTATTCACCTAGCAATGACCGACTCTATAGAAACTGTCAGCAGAGGTCCCTATGGTCTGCTGAAACCTGGAGCTTCCCTTTTCTTTCTGGGATATGATGGACATAAATATAAGTTAATAGTAAAAGATGAAGCACATTGAAGAGTGGAGAGCAGTGTATGATTGTGAAGGTGAATGAATATTGAATTGCTCTACATTGAAGCAGTTAGGAACATTAATTACTCTGGATTTTAAGTATTAGAAGGGGAACATGCACTATACATGTACTTCTAGGATGTGTGCCTGAGAAATTAGCATATATCTGCATAACCCTAAAAAACCACTATAGATTCAGAACCATTCCTGAAGCTTGCCTAGTTTGTGTTTTGCTTTGCTAGGCACATAGAAAAGATAGGATTTTCTCTTCTCCTTCCCAGGCAAAGTGGGTTCCAAAGTGGTTCAAATCCTGGTAATCCAGCCTGAAGAATGAAATATTCTTGAAAAGACAGGGTATGCTGTCTGAAGAACAGATCTCTGCCAGGGCTGCTGCTCTTACAGGCACATCCAGACTGGCTGTAAATGAGGTTGTTCAGGCAGTGATGTAGCCACAGCAGCTCAGAGCTGCACAGGGCACGCTGTTTACCCTGTTTTTCAGCCATGGAACAACATTCACATCAGTGAATGCAGTGGAGACATACCCAGAATAAGAATGTGATTTATTCTTTCAATGTGAGAAGCAGCTATATGTTCAACAAAGGCTTTCCTTAGACTAATGGCCAAAGTAGGCCCCAGTGCAGCTCCTCTATAGACTGAGAAGAAAGGATTGTTTGTTGAGGCCCAACTGTCCCCAAAAACCAGTCTGCTGAGTGGATTCCGTCATGTATGAGTTCTCTGCTCGCTTCATTGTCACGGGTGTTTCCGCAAGCCTGCCATGCACGGCATAACTGGGGAATTTACTGCAGCAGTTGCTGATAGAGCAAATAATTCAAAGTCCTGTCACAGCTTGGAAAGAACAGAAGACTACTACAGAACAGTTTAATATATATATATATATATATATGTATATATATAAGATATTGTTTACCAGTGGAATACAGGACAATGTGATTTTTCTATAGACCCTCTCATTCTCAAGGAATGGCAAAGCATTTAATAAAGGAATGAGTTAAGAGTTGTGGTTGTTCAGTCCAGAGCAACGGCTGGTTTAGCCTTTCAGTGCAAAATCATTATGTGCTCAGCAGTAGCTGACAGAGCCATGGCCAGTAAGGGCTGACGTGCTGAGACAGGGACACTGGCCCTGACACTCTCTTTGTCCCCTCAAACTGTCTGTGGAATTGCCTACTCTCCTCGGATGGGCACCAGAGGAAGAAAGAAGGAAACTTTTGTTAATTCTGAGGTTTTCCCCAGTGTCAGTGCCAGTGCCAGTAACTTTGACCATGTGGTGCCTTCAATTGTGAATTGCAAGAGCTGCAGTTGGGTGAGCCCTGGTTTTTGTGTAGGAACTCTGTTCTTCACAACTATTTTCTTGGTCAGCATGTGCCTACTGTATTATTGGGAAAAAAATATGTGCTCTCCTGCTGCAGTGTGGGTAGCTACCCTTCCTGAACCTGTCAAACAGCCAAGGAGTGAAACTACACAATTTTCTTTCCAGGGAGACTTGACTTCAGCTGAATTTCGAAGCCAGTTACGCATGTGCTTCATGTAAACCAATGCTCCTGAAAATTGCTGTTTTTTAAACCCAGTTTATAATATCACTCATTTTGGATGCTGCTCATTTCAAGCCTTTTGAAGTACTGTTTTTATTTGCATATCTCTAGGCTGATTTTTGGATGTAACATTGCTGTGTTCTCTGTGTTTCTTAGTATTTGATTCAGGCTGTCATTACAGAAAAGACCACTCCGCCCAGCAGCGAGGTCTGTCTCACCCAGGTATTGCAAGGCCTTGTGGTGCAGAGCAAATGGTTGTGCTTGCACAACCCCCTTGCATGTTAGAGCTGCACATGAGTGCACAGATCAGCTGAAGAAGGCAGTGTAAGTCTGTGTGGAAGTCATGCTTCAAGCATGAGCCCTGTTAATGGACTCCCAGCTCTGCTCTGCCTTTTCCAACCCCTGCATATCACACAGTGGTGGGTCAGCACAGATCCACAGCCCCTCTCCAGCCTGGGTATTTGGGGCCATATGTGGAGCCCCAGAGCAGGACAGAGATTGTGACTTCATGCTCCACAAATGCAGAATTTCTTCTGGTTGGGATCAGCTCTCAGAACCTGTTTGTCATGCATGTTTTCTCAGATGGGGCTTGTCATACAGGGCCTCACAGCTCCGTGTTTAGACACGTGAGTGCTCTGGTTTCAATCTGCAGACAAACATGCATTGATTGAGAAGATAGTACCCCAAAGGTCTCTGATTCAATCAAACACTTCAACATATCCCTATCTTCAGCCATGTGGAGTATTTAGTTTTTAATGATACACACATTTGGACAAAAGCACAAGCTGTTCATGAGACTGCATGAGCAGAAGGAGAGGCTGTGTTGATCAGCTCTTTTTCTGCTGGAAATTATTCATTCAGGTCACCCTTTTAGTGTAAAAGCTTGGGAGCAGGAGTGAGTCATGCCAAGAGCTTAATGGGGTGGTGTGGCTCCATTGGATGCAGAATGATGGAAGAAGGGTGTGAGGGTGGGGAGGAGAAGAGCCACTGCCCCCTTGTACTCCTATCCTGGTCATGGTCCTGCCTGAGGTGCCTTGTGCTACTCCAGCCCAGGAGCTGCCTCCTGTGTATGAGACTGATTTCCCAGTGCCTCTCAGTGACTGCCACACCTCCTGTGCCCCCTGCATTGGTGGCTGGCTGTGTCCCTGGGCTGTGCCCATCACCCTGGGCATGCAGGTAGAGCTGCCTCATCCCCACTCCCATCAATGCGCTCTGGGAGGGAGAGGTACTTGCAGAGTTGAGGCTGGGTTTGCTGTGAAGGGTGTTGCTGTACCTCAGCAGCTGGATGGATGTCATTGAAAGTGAGAGAAGGGGAAAAAAAACCAGAAAATAAGCTCTGGAAAAATTTTTATCAAACAATACCTGTTGTGGGAACTGCTTTCAGTGAGATGCAAACGCATTTTCCTTTCATTTCTGCAACGGTTCTGAGCTGCTTCATTAATAACAGACTTGTTTGGGAGACTGACAAGATGGGAACCAGCACTGTAATTACACTGCTGCTCTTTTTGTGAGGACTGCCATGAAAACAACGCTGTGTTCTCATTTTCTCCAAAGACAAGCAGGGAAACAAATTTCTAACACCTTGCCCTCCATTGCAGCTGGACACTGTTCCAGACTGACATGAATCAATTAAAAGTGAAAGTGTAACCCATAGAAACATTATTCAGTAAGCTTCATACAAAAGAAAGCATTTCTACTTGCCTAATTAAATGATGAGAAAAAAAAGTATATATTTTTGGCAGTAGTTGTGGAAATACTTTGCTTTTTTTTTCAAAAGTCAGACCATCATAGCACAAACAATTAACAAAAGAAAAATGTTTCCTTTTCCTGGAGTTGGCTAATTAAAAACTTTCTCTCTCATCAATTTACTGAACACCAAAGGAGACATTTCATGGCTTTTTAGCACCTGGAATGCCATATTTATTTTTCAATTGAAAAACTGTATTATAGCAAACTGCCATACACACAGTTTACCTGGATTCTCTAAATAAAGCAGTGATAATCTTTATCATTGCTCTCTTGACTTTGTTTCAACATTCTTTTTAATGCAAATTTCCTAATCTAACTTGTAAAACATTTAATATTTAAAATATACTCCTTTAAGATCCATCAAAAGAGGCAAAGCTGCACAACAATGCCTGGTGCTGGAGCATTGTGAGCCTGCTACAAAGGAATGAGGTGATTCTTTCTTTCAGGTCAGAAGGTCAGGCTTCACTGCATTAATTTTGCTGAGTCTCTTTGTTATTTATAACAAACAAGGTCATTTATTTTCATTTCCTTGTTTCTAATTGCATACATCTCCTTTGGAGTATGAACTCGGTAAACAGGTGGCTGAAATGCTAGGGAAAATACTTGAAGCTGTTCCAGAAAAAGGGCATGTCCCACACTGGTAAAGCAATTTGATGAGTTAGAGATTTAGTCATAGCAGGATGTGCACCTGCTTGAAAGCAAACACACTTCTCTTTGGCACACACAGATACATGCAAATTAAAAGAGATTATTTCACTCTGAATGGTGGGTTGATATTTGATCAAATTTAACACTGTATATTTTAAATAAAGCCTTGGTGTATATTAGTGAAATACAATCTCTTTTCAGCTGCTTTTGATTTTTTTTTTCAACTTCTCTTTGAGTATTACAAATGAATGATATTTCTTCACTAGCTGAGCCTACAAAAAGAGTATGTCTCTGGAGGAGAACTTTATCAGGGGATCTTTATGATGAGAACTACCTACATGCGCAGAAAAAAAATGGGATAATGAAAAGCTAGGATGTTTGACTGACAAGGAATAAACCAGATCTTAAATTTTTTATTCTAAAATGAATTCACACAAATTAAAGGACATTCATTGGAGTGATAGCAGTACGTCTTTTTAATCCTGTAAACCCCACGTTTCCAGGCAGTCCAAATGGAACTCCTAAATATATTCATGGGCAGCTTTTGCATAGGTAGTCATTGAATTTGCATTTCAAAATGCAGGCACTGTATGGCTAAATCTGTGGCTGCTTTGTCCTGAAAGATGAGATTCACTGTGGACTACCTTGATTTTAGGGGTAGTTGAGAATATAGCAGGAAGCAGTAATTGTCTGCCATGACTGAGCTTCTGTTGGTGGTTGAGAACTGGTCCGGGGCTGAATCCATAAGGGAAACAGAGGGAGATTTCTTAGCAAGGTTGTCTAGGTCCCCAGAGAATGGGAGGCACCACTACTGTGTCCAGAGGCTCTGCACTGAGCTTTGGAGCTTAAGAAATGTCTCTGAGCAAGGGGAAAGTGTGGGAGGGAAGCAGGAGAGAAGGATGTGCCACCCCAAGAGACAACTGTTTTGTCTCTTTTCTAAGACTGGGCATAGAGGGGTTGTTTGGAGAAGGCTCTGCAAGGGGCATGTATCCTCCTGCTTAAATTGTCCTTTTCTGCAGATTATTTCCAAAGAGTGGGGCAGGGATGGCAATTTGGTTGTAAGGATTATGCTACAGCTTTCATTGTTTAGGATGCATACTGTAGCCTTTCTATGAGAAGATTACTGTCCTGGGCTTTTGTTTTCATGCATATGAAAATATACTTTGTAATTTCAGGGAGACAATATCGTGAAATGGTATGTTAGAAGAAAGAAACTATTTTCTATCTCTAAACCCGATAAAAATCCAAACCCTTTCTTTGGCAAAATATTTGTTTCTTGAATGTAATTATAAATGTCATTGTACATTCTTCCTGACTTCAATGCTTATCTTGAGGAGTTCAGTGAAAATAAATTGTTTTCATGAAAGCAGAGAAGCCGTTTGATAAACACACTGTCTCAGAAAATTGTTCCTGAAGCAGAGGTCGTTCTCTCACTTTAAAAGAAAGAGAATATGTTTTAGAAAACAAGCCAAGCAGCAGAAAAAAAGCATTTTTTGTTTCAGACAATTCATTTTTAAAAGCAATGTGTAAATCACATGGAAAATTCTGCATTGATTATTTTGACTGCTGTAGAACCCTGGAATAAATGAAGTTGAAATAGACTTCTACCAAAGAACATTGCATTTAATAGCAAGTCAGAGTGTTATTTTACTACTGATTTTTTTAGATTTGGTTTTGTGATCAGATGTTTTATTAAATATTAGCCATTCATGGTAATGGGGACTGATTCTTTGATTGGCACAATAGATTGGCACATATTGTTCATGAGCTTCAGGAAACAGTCTTGAGAAATGGAATCTGTCTTTTCAACACTGAAAATCCAGCCCACTGAGGCATCAAAAAAAAAAAAAAAAGCTCAACTCTATAAGTTGAGACAACTGAAGATAGGTCCTGAATAAAAGTATAGCAGTTCATTTTAGAGATGTTA